TTTCCATTGTAACGAGCATTTCAGTATGAAAGAATCTAGAACTTCGGAAAAATTCATGGTAGTACGCAATAATACCTACTCTAAAATAAAGTATATCGAATTTTGAAATGAGGCTTTTGCATTCGCTTAATAAGGTTGATACAGCTATAACATCCGTTTGATATAAAAAATGCAACTTGAAGACGCTATCATTGGTCGTAGGAACCATAACTATAAATAATACGGTCTCCATCCAGGCATCTGATCATTTTGTTTACTTGTTTGCAAAGCTAAAGCAATTAAATGACTAAATGCTAACATTGCAGTGGTTTACCATACCCAGAGGACTTTACAAATATCAAAGTGATTTATATTAAAAACAAATTTGCTTAACATGGTAATAGTCTTGTCTCAGGGTATAATTTTATATTTATATTAGATTTAGCAAGGAAATGTAACTTTGGAATGACCAGATTTCAAGGCCATGTTCTCGGTACTTAGTTTATACATGCTGCTGGGACGTCCAGCATTCGTAAATTTTGAGTGCTGCTATATCTCCTTTCATCTGTGAGTGATTCAGAATACACAGGTCATGCTATGCCCCAATCTTTAGATTTCATTTAAGAAAGTTTATATATATTATCATGGCAAAAAATTGACTCCCAAACCACTGAAGTTAACCCCTTCCCGACGGGTGACGCTGATAGGCGAGAAAACAAACCGCTTGAAAGCTGGCGTGCGGCTGTATGCCAGCGAGCCAGTGATTTGGGCTGATGTACCGAACCCGTCACCATTAAGTTAACGAAGCTATAGTACAAATCCATAACAATTATTTTGGGCAAATTGGTAAAGTCATTTCTCAAGAGTTGAAACTGTCCCATAAGTAGTATGCCTAGAATATAGTAGCGTTAACACAGCTGTTGTATGCCAGCAACTCTACATTACTGGCCGCTGGCCAAATTTTTGTTCTGCAGTTAATGTCCCATAGTTATAGTTTGAATGGTCAAATACATGGTTGGATTTATTAACTGTTCATAAGGTTGTCATAAGTTAGTTAATGATTGGTTACTTTATGCAATATTTGAAAGGTTACATGGTTTTGGTATACATCTTGTATGTTATATAGGTGTTGGCATTGATCATTACTTCAGTGGATATTCAGAAGTTGCAATATCCCAGTATTCATTTTGTATGGTGATTGTAAATTTTACAAATAATTTAAACCATTTACAGGTGAACTTCACAGTGGAAGAAATCCGTGAGTTGATGGACAAGCGGAGGAACATCCGTAACATGTCCGTCATTGCTCACGTTGACCACGGAAAATCTACCCTGACCGACTCCCTTGTATCGAAGGCGGGTATTATTGCTTCGTCTCGTGCAGGAGAAACTCGCTTTACTGATACCAGAAAAGATGAACAGGAGCGATGCATTACCATCAAGTCTACGTAAGGATTCTTGCCTTTGTACACTACATCTAATTAAACTGGAAATGATGATTGTCTCGTTCGGATGAGTGGCAGTTGGTCATGGAGATTAAACTTTAGACACCCTGATTCAACTTTGAGATAAGCATAATAGCCGACCGTTTTAATAGTGTACTAACTATAGCATTTTCCAACAGTGCCATCTCTATGTACTTCAAGCTGAGTGACGAGAACCTCGCCCTCATTACCAGCCCTGACCAGAAGGAAGCTGGGGAAAGTGGTTTCCTTGTCAACCTTATTGATTCCCCTGGTCACGTTGATTTCTCCTCTGAGGTAACAGCTGCCCTCCGTGTAACTGATGGTGCCCTCGTCGTGGTGGATTGCGTCTCTGGTGAGTGTGCAAACAAGTCCTTCCAATTTTTTTTAGAATTGGCAGTAATGAAGCTACCAACATTATGAAGTTTCAACATCTAAACAAGAGTAAAATTTCAGGTGTGTGTGTGCAGACCGAGACTGTGCTGCGTCAGGCTATTGCTGAGCGCATCAAGCCAGTTCTGTTCATGAACAAGATGGACCGTGCTCTCCTTGAATTGCAGCTTGAGCAGGAGGAATTGTACCAGACATTCCAGGTTTGTCTAATGTCCTGTGTAATTTCTGGTTTGATTTGTAAGTTACTGACTTGTAGGAATTAGAATATTTTGGCAGTTCTCTATTTAAAGACCAATTTTATCTTGTAGCGTATTGTTGAGAACGTGAACGTCATCATTGCCACCTACAACGACGACACAGGCCCCATGGGTGAGATGCGTGTCGACCCCAGCAAGGGATCTGTTGGATTTGGTTCCGGACTCCACGGATGGGCCTTCTCTGTCAAGGAATTTGCTGACATCTACTCAAGCATGTTCAAGGTTCCTGCTGCCAAGCTCATGAACAAGTAAGGAAGCCCTTGAGCATCTGATAGAGATGTTTCGACATCTTTGTTACTTAGAGCAAGATTGACCTATCTTAGGTTGTAATTTTGCTTTTTTACCATAAAGGGTAATTAAATGGCAAACTATAATTACTAGAAGTTTCAGCAAGTCCATGTATTGTGAAGCGGAGACGTTATGCATTATATTTGTAAATTTCAGGCTCTGGGGCGAGAACTTCTTCAACAAGAAGACCAAGAAGTGGTCCACGAACAAGAGCACTGACAACGAGCGTGCCTTCAATACATACATCTTGGACCCCATTTTCAAGCTCTTCGATGCCATCATGAACTTCAAGGTAACCATAGTTCTTAATTACTTTTAAGTATGGCTTGAAAATCAAAATGTTTAAATTATAAACTTGACCTTCCAACTTGCCTCGGGTCTGGATTGTTCCAAACTCGACTTCCGACGGAAGGAGATCAATATAGTCATCCCTAAATCTTGGCCTCATTGGGTTTAGATTTTTGATATGCACTTGACAATTTTTGGATAAACCGTGAAGATACCTATGTATGCTGCTGTCTTTTTGTTTATACTAAAGGTACTCTAGTTAATCAAAGTGGACCTCTAGGAATATTATGGAAATATTTAGCATTTTTAGATACTTTTTTTTTTTTTTTTTTTTTTTTTTTACTATACATGTCCCTTTCCATGACTGCATTAGAAAAGGTTACAGCTGGCCAAAAAAAATATTCAAGCTTTGCCACTTTTCAGTAATTAAAATAATTATTAGTGTATGCATCATATTTATGCACTCCATCTTAATTCATGAGCAAATAACAATGCCCTTGCTTAGCTTGCAGATTACACTTGCAGTTGCTAAAGAAATAATTATTCATAAGTCTGTTGCCTATATGATGCTTAAATTCTTATGAAAGAATGAAAAATGGTCCATAGATATTCATATTTGTTCTCCCTTGTTAAGTCATAAAATATCTTTATATGTAATATAATATATATTTATATTTTGGACATAATTAGGCACTTCAAGGTTTTAAAAAAATAGTATTCTACAAAAACTTGCAAGTAATTGTGATAATACCTTACTGTGCCAAAAGATTCTCCCTCTCTGTACTATAATAAGTTTCATGACTGAACAAATGAAAATATAAAGCTCATTTTCGTTCTTAGGACAAATAATTTGGTTTGAATGGTAATCAATATTATGGAGAGGGAAATACAGGCAGACTTTTTTAATATTACCACCATTATTTCTGAACCATCCTTTAGTGAATGTAAGCTGCAAAAAGTATAGCAGAGGTCATTAACATTAAAAATAAAAAAAACTATGCATTTCCTTAAATAGTAATGACAAACTTGCACTTTTAGAAATTATCCTTTTCTATAAGGATGCACCACAGTATTGCCAGATAAAATCCAGGCTTTATAATTTTAGGGTGGACACAAATTTTGGCCAGCTTGTACAAGGTAGTCATATTTGTTTGTCACAACTTGATTAACCTTTCTGTAAGCTATTTTGTATTAAGTGGAAATTAACCAGGAACTGGTTAATTAGATGTAGAAAAATGTTAGTTATTTGCAGAATATTGTGCCACTTTTTTTTTTTATTTGGATACTGATAGAACTTGTATTTCAGAAAGAGGAAACTGCCAAGCTGTTGGAGACCCTCAAGATCAAGCTCCAAGTAGAAGACAGGGAGAAGGAAGGAAAGGCCCTCCTCAAGGTTGTTATGCGTACTTGGCTCCCTGCTGGAGACACCCTCTTCCACATGATCACCATTCACCTCCCATCCCCTGTGACTGCCCAGAAATACCGTGCTGAGATGCTGTACGAAGGTCCTTCTGATGACCTTGCTTGCACTGGCATCAAGAACTGCGACTCTGATGCTCCTCTTATGATGTACGTGTCAAAGATGGTACCGACATCTGACAAGGGTCGCTTCTACGCCTTTGGTCGTGTCTTTGCCGGCAAGGTTGGCAGCGGTCAGAAGGTCCGCATCATGGGTCCCAACTACGTCCCAGGAAAGAAGGAAGATCTCTTCGAGAAGGCCATCCAGAGAACTATTCTTATGATGGGTCGCTTTGTTGAAGCTATTGAGGATGTCCCTGCCGGTAACATCTGTGGTCTCGTTGGTGTTGACCAGTACCTTGTCAAGACTGGTACCATCACCACCAGCAAGGACTCCCACAACATGAAGGTGATGAAGTTCAGCGTGTCGCCTGTCGTGCGTGTGGCTGTCGAACCCAAGAACCCCTCTGACTTACCCAAGCTTGTGGAAGGTCTCAAACGGTATGTATAATGGAGAACTAGTACAAGATTTATGGGGAAACAAAAAACAAAAAAAAAAAACAAAAACAAAAAAAAAATCCAGCATTAAGAAAGAAATATCCACATTTTAATGTTTTTATCTACATTTCAGTCTCTCCAAGTCTGACCCCATGGTGCAGTGTATTATTGAGGAATCTGGTGAGCACATCATTGCTGGAGCTGGTGAGCTGCATCTTGAGATTTGTCTGAAGGTAGGTCACAAGTCTATCAGTTACCCATTCACATATATTTTTGGTTATAAGAATCTATTGACTTGCAAAAGTTAACCTCCCATTCATTAGATTTTCTTAGTTCAGCAGTAAGATAATTACTCTTAACAAAACCACTTTCCTCA